CTGATTTAAAACAATTGTTAAAAACGCAAGCTTTCTGCCCTGCGTCAGTGAGTAGTTCGCCATGTACCATTATATCAGGTATTCCCATCTGATCATTACCACAGAGCTTCATAAACTTCCAGAGCTGCTTATTGTTAGTTTTCATCGCGTCTTCAAGACGTTGAAGATAATCCTGTTTAGATTTTTTTGCGGTCTCTTTGTACGTCGTAGTCAATTCCTTTAATATCTGGAGGTTTGAGGCCGAACTTTTCTTTTTATATCTTGCGTACGCACGCTTGCGTTTTTTAATAATTCTTAATAGACCACCATTGATCCATGGTTTTTCTCTTTTCTTTAGCTTACGCAATACTCGGAATGTATTTCTCTGTGAGGCTAATAACTCTCTGTTTAAAAAGCATCCACACGTCCTCAACACTCATTTCTTCGGCAATACATTCGAAAGAAAGGAAGCTCTCGCGAAGTTCAGAACTGATACCCTCATAATCACCCCTTGCGTACAGAAATACGTTTCGATTTGCATTCAATTTTTTACGGGGAGATTAAAAACTAGGCGTGGCCACAATAGCGTCATGATCGCTAATACCAGGAATGACGTCAACTCGTTTAACAATGCCAGGATAGTTACAAAATAATAAATCGAGTATGTTCGAGCCACGCGTAGGTGTGAGAACATGCTGTGTGAAGCCCAAAGTGTCAACCATGCATTTTAAATCAAGGTTTAAACGACTGAGTGATCCACAGGTACACATTTCGTCACTCCATATCATATCTGGAAGGTTAAAATCCCCACCAAGTAGCACACAGTCATTAGAAACACTAGAAACCAGATCGCTAAGTTGGCACAAAACAGTGGGGTCAGAACTTGGGGGTCTGTAGAATACGCCTACAATAAGATTAAAACCATCAGGCAGTCTGACCCGACACCACACTGACTCAACTGTATTTCCAGCTATATCTAGTTGGTAACTTTGTAAGGAGGTACTAATAATAAGTGCTGCGCTGTGCTGACATGATCTTCCCAAGAGATGCAGGTTGCACGTGCTTCGTGCATCGATGCATCTTGCGCTACTTTTGAAACATGAAGGGGCTTTACTATTTTATAGGCTGCCTAAATGTGCGTCTGTCATAGGGTGAAGACACCCATTGTTGTATTGAAAACTGCCTGCGCGTGCCGAATGGGCCTTAAAATGGCGCCAAAGCACCGGGCAGGGCTAAGCGCTGGCTCCGAACGAGATCGAAGCGCGTGCATTCTGAGCATAGAAATGACCGAGATGCCTCCACCCTAAGACAGACGTGGCGAAAGTGTATGAAAGCACCCTACTATTTTATAACCAGAACCGCCATCTCTCGGTCAAAGCTCGCGTTCAAATCTGAATACAGATTCGAAAGCGAGTCACCGCGAGAGTCGTACTTCGAATGCCGCGTGGCAATCAGTTGAAGGCAACAACCTGGCACACGGCATTCGAACCAGGGATATTGCAGTGACTCGTGTTCGCAGACTGTCTTTTGCATAAACAGAATGTTAGGGCGCAAACTAGCTGGCAATGATTGAAGATGAACTGTAACCCTGAAAAGGGGGGGGGGGGGGGGGGGCCTTAGGGAGATAGACAACGAAGAAGGAGGGAAAGAACAGGAGTCTCAAACACAACTGTGTTTGAAACTCCTGTTTTTCCTCTCTTTTTTCGTCGCGTTTCTTGCTAGTCTCAGGATTTTAGTTCGTCATGTCTTTTGTATGCTGCATAAGGCTTTAGACTGACCAAAACTGATTTGTTGGAACTTTTGTCACAACGTATAATTGCGAAAAAAGCCATTCACTTTACGAGGGTTGAACTTTTATTAGATTGTACGTAATCGCCGGACGAATAAATAAATGACTGATTTCGAAACGGCGATGCCTATGTGGCTGCGGGAAGACGGCCGCTTTCCAGAATAATTTAATTTCAAAATAAAAAAAAAACAAAAAAAAAAGACACTCACCTTAAATTCATCCCAAGGACCAGCATACATATAAAAATATGAATTAAATACTGACGCTTTTTTTTTTTTGATACGTTTCAATAATTTCGTCGTAGTGACATTGATTCTGAGTGATAACAAAAAAGTTGGATTTAAGCTTACCTTCCAGATCGTTGCAGCATTACACTGTTCTTACATCAATCGTTACAATGAAATCACCGGATTCATTCTGTCCTTCGGAATGACAAGTCTATGGCGTCAATGACTACTCAAAGACTTTAAGAAAGACATGCACGCGTCAACATGCAGGTTTTTTTTTTTTAATTTTACAGATTTATTTAAAAAATGCTCTGAAAGTTGCACTCATGCGGTTTGTGCAGGTGAGTTATGTGGCCAGGAGGACACAGTATGCGGGGCTAATCGTAACGATCAATCGGCTAATGAAAAAAAAATTGTTAATTAACTTTTTAGTTAATGAAAATAGACATGGTTTCAAAAGGGAACTTGCTCAGCGTCATCGAAAGCCACTAAATATGTAAACATCAGAAAGACTTAGAGCGCGTGAGAAGCGTAGTAGTGCACTAAAGTTACCACTCGTGGAGCAGGTACAAAGCTAGCGGTTGGGGTAAGGCGCCCGCGCGATTTTGCGGCTCTCCGCCTCTTATCAAGAGCCCCAGCCTTGTACCTGCTCCACGAATGGTAGCTTTAGTACACTTTCACGCTTTTCACGCGCTCAAAGTATTTCTGAAAATTACTGATTTAGTGGTTTTTGAGGACGCTGAGCAAGTTCCCTTTTGAAACCATGCATCTATTTTCATTAATTAACAAATTTTAATTCATTAGCCGACTGATCGTTACGATTAGCCCCCTATACCCTGTCCCCCTGGCCGTATAACTCACCTGCACAAACCACATAAATGTAACTTTCACTGCTTTTTTTCTTAAACAAATCTGTTACGTTAAAAAAAAAAACGAAAAAAAAAAACGGTATATTTGCACTATAAGAGAAGAAACGCTTCAATGCTATGTTACATCTCTTTTATTTTCAGTAGTATGCACATAATATATATATATTTTTCTTGTTTCTCCAAAATGTCTTTTTTTCTATTTATTACTGCTGTCGGCATCATCTGGCAACAGTAACTGGCGTGGAATAGTTTGCCTTTGTTTCACGAAAATTAAATGTTTCGCAAAGCATAAATTAGATAATAATAAAAAAAAATATTTCAAGGTTACCATTTCGAGCTCAAAGGATTTTTTTTTTTTTTAGTGTCCTACCATTTTCTTAAAATATTGAAGCAAAGTTCAGGAGCTAAATCTTACGGTAAGCAAACAAGCACCGTCCGAGAGGGTAAAACAAAAATAGCATTTTCGGTGGGAACCGCACGGGTCAGCCTAACAACAGCACAGTTTGTGTTCAGCGTTGGAGGCGCGCTATGAAGCTTAGCCAATGAGCACGTGTTCAGCTAGAACTATGGTTCAAACAATTGGCAAATACCCTTGATTGGAATTTTCCTGCCGTTTTGAGGTGATAGAAGAATGAAACAAAATCATTTCACACGCAGAAGTAATGCCTGGAAGTCTCACACATCCTCCAAGTTTCCTAAGTTCGTAAGCAAGTAGGGGAATACTAAACTGATACCCTCACCTGTTTATAACGGATTTATAGCACAAAGAAATGTCAGGACATTAACACTGCCAATCATTCTTGTCCAATAAAAAAAAAAACAGTGAAGCTTAGATATCACTCGAATGATGTAAGGAGGAGGCGATTGTATACATTTTAGCGTTTCTCATGGCTCACTGAGTTCAGAACTGTTTGTCCTTAGTGAGACCCTTTATGAGACCGTTGATATTCTTTGCAACTCGAGTCCCCAAATAACTGCGCTTCAGAGTAGCGACACGTACCGGCCATCTTTGTGCTTAAAACTATTGTTGCCAGTTTTCCGAAGTTGAATCTGAAATTGCGGAAAACGATGTTCTGTCCTCTGGAAATATGGAAACAGTCCGATACAGAGCTAAGCGATATCAGCCGAGTTTCCCAACACCGTCTGTACGGTTCAAGATGTAACATTTTTGGAATCGTAACTATCACCAACGCGAAGCGCGAGTTCATCTGCTTCTTGCACAGGGGTTGCGATGATGTCAGAACGCCGAGCTCTCATTGGCTGATTTAAAAACAATAAGTGGGTAGACCTCGAGACATATATAGCATTGAAGCCTACCCACTATACTTTCTATCAAAGCCAATCAGAGCCCGGCGTCGTTCTGACGTCACCGGAACTCCTACGCAAGAAGCAGAAGACTTGCTTTCTGCATTGCGCCCTCTCTGCACGAAGCACCAAAATGGCGGCGCCCACGAGAAAATCTGTTGAATGGAGTGTCGCCACTCTAAGCGTAGGTAGTTTAGTAGCCCTGTTTGTAACAATACAAGATGTTTGCAATAAAGAAAAGTTACCGCCAATGGTAATGGCACGGCTTGCGTAGAAGAGAAGGAACAACAAATTAAGAATCTTAAAGCTTATCCGAGCGTTTCTTAGAAGCTTGTAAATTTCCTGGATGGAGAGAACACACGCACACATGCACACACATACGAGAAATAAAAGGCGTCCTCGCGTTCAAGCGGAAAAATCTACGCCAGCTCGACAGTTAAGAAAAAAAAAAGAAAAAAAAAAGAGCAGTCTTTAATTAACGCAGCACGCACACCCCCGATTTCGCTAGAAGTCACCATCAAAAGAAAGCGTCGAGTCACTCCGCAGACGTGGCGGAGCGTAGCAGAATACCACGAAGGACCACAGGTACGTGCCTAACAACACACTGCGCAAGCGCATTCACGCAGTTTCCACTCCCGTCCATTGGATGCCGTAACACATCCACACACTCCGCTGAACAGTCACCGCTAGCCGACGTCAGAGGTCACGCCGTTGGCAACACGTAGCACGACACTGTGGGTGGACAGCGGTGGAGTCCAGCGAAGGCGCCCGCGGGACGGCATAAGCGAAGTCGCCTGGGGGGTTCCGTTTTCTGTGCGACAGGTGGCGCCACTGTAAGTCCGTCGGCGTTTTGCTGGCATTGGCGAACTGGCGTCTCACTCAGTACAGCTGGTTTCAAAATATCTGGGGCGACAGGTTGGGTTTAGTGTCGACGCCGCCCAGCCCCGAGCCGTACGGGTAAGGGCCGAGACACGACGGTTGACCGCAGGGGCTTGAACTCCACTTCGGGGGCGACAGTTGTGGCTGCTGGCTGCACGGGCTGTCGGCCGCCACAGATTTGCCTGCGGAGGAAAATAGCGGATGAGTGACGTACACGCATATTACGCGAGAATAAGTTGATTTCCATCTGAATTAGAGGGCAACTCGCGCCCTCTAGGGAACAGGTGGCCGCTGAAAAAAAAAAAAAAAATCCACCTGGTCCACCAGTCTTGATAGTAACCACAACGATCTTCTGTTGAATGGTTAATGATATAGCCACTAAATAAGCTACGCTTCAGAGTAACGACACTTACCCATCTTGGTGCTTAAAATCATGGTTGCCAGTTATCTGAAGCTTTATATGAAATCACAGGAAACGCTTTTCGGTCCTCCCCAAATGTTTATACAGTTTGTGACAGAGCAAATCAATATAACATGAGCTTCCTAACACCGAATCTAATGCTGAGGAAGTCTCACTTTTGAATCATGACGATCGGCAGGTGCATCTGCTCTGTACTAAGCACCAAAATGGCGGCGCCCACAACAATATCAGGGCACAGAGTAATGATATTCTAAGCGTAGCTTGTTTGGTGGCTCTAGTTAATGATTTAGGGGAAGTTTCGAAGGTGGAAAAAATTTAAGCAAGAATAACTTGACATTCACCTGAAATGGAGCGCAACTCATTGTATCTAATCATACTCATAATGTTTTTATATGCGTATACTGAAGGTACATAGAATATTCAGTGCGATAAAGTGGACTCGGTTCAACGTAGTTATTTCAATTTTTTCCCCCGGGACATTTCATAGTATGCAAACAACATCCTGGATGACACAAAACCGAGTGCAGTTTTAAGTAAAAACTTTTTATTTACCAATTTTTTTTTCTAAAGATTACAGATATTCACACTCTCAATGTTATGTGGAAAAATAGGTTCACAGGCAGTTTTTCAAAGATGTCAATAATAAAAAAAAAAATGGATTCACTTAGCTTCCAAAAGCGCGATAAAGGTTATTTTAATTTTTTGTTTATTATTGAAGAAAAAAAAAAAAAACGTTGTAAGATATTTCTGTTAAGAAAATTATCAGATCTTTTAAGACTTGTTTATTTAGGAAACAAGAAATATCGACTTTGCAATCCCGGCGTGTTTCCTCAGAAATGTTAGTTTTTTTTTCTCATTGTCATCTCAAATGAAACAAAAAATTGAATAAATTAATCGAGTTCTGAAATTTCGAGATCTGAAGAAATCACTTCGCTTATATTTCCTCTTAAATCTTTAACAGGTGTTATGAAACTTCACTACCCTTCAAACACTGCACTTTGCAAGCCGTCCAGGAATTCACGTCGAAAGTAAACGTAAAATGGGTTCCTCTTGATCAATCCATCTTTTATGTCCTTTGTTACTAAAGGAAGAGACATTTCGCAAGTAAGGCAAAGTCCGCCGAAACAGAAAGACAAAGAAGGGGCAATATAGAAATATACAATACTGCCATTTTCCTAAAGTGTCGTCCCAAGAGTGTAGTGAGCGGACTTCGATATACAAACATTGCCTTTTTTTTTGTTTCTTCACATTCCCATCTATTCGTTTGATCCTCTCGTGTTCTCCGAATATTTTTTTTTTCCAGGAAATTCAACCCTCCTGAGCAAGAAGGCACTCTTGTACTCCGTCAAGTAGGCACACAAGAGGGCAGAATACGCACAGACGCACACCCTTTTGGGCGGTCGAAAAACCACTGCGGGGACGGCCATATTGTAACATCGTACGAAACCCTACGACCACTCTTCTTCCCTCTCCAACCCCACCACCGTGGCAAACCAAAAACCAAAAACAAAAAAAGAAGAAACACACAAGAAAATCTCGAGACGCACGAGACAGACGACGCAACTTGACCATTAGGGCTGTCCAAGATGGCGGTCGACGCCGCGCCGCTGGTAGCACGCACTTTCTTCCTCTTCCACTCTCGCATCTATCTATTTTACTTGTCGTTTCTCTCTTACCCTTTTCGACTCTCCTCCTCCTTCTCCTTCTTTCTCTCGCAGAGGCCTTTCATGTGTCCCCACTGACACTAATGGAAATAGACGAGGGACAGCGCCGAGCCGGACGCTCCTCCCAGCGCCGGTTAGCAGACGACGTCGCCATTTGCTGAGAGCGATGACGTCATCAGTTTTTGGGCACTACGGATGAGAGATGGCTGCACCTTCCCTTCCCTCGCCCGACTTTGTTTTTGGGCAGCTTTTGTTTCGTATATCGCTTTGTGTTGGGGTTTCGGGTCGGCGGCACTGCGTATAGCTTTTGGGCGTGCTTCGTGAATTTGTAACGCGCCAGCTTGTTTTGTGTTTGTTTGTCAGTTGTATGCTTTTCTTTTGTGTCTTTGTTTGAGATTAAAAGAGAAGACGGGGAAAGAAAAAGAAAGATAGGATGGAGGAGACAGATGATCTTGATACGAAGCGATGGAAACTTGCAGTGTTTCTGGTTTCTTCAGAGCCCGTCGGATGGATATTGAAGCATTTTTTATAGTGTTTCCTCCTACCTTGTGTTGCTTTAGTTTTACCCTTTTGCAAAGTCAGCAAAAGTACGCCGTTGTTCCGATGTGGGTGACGTATTGCTATATCGAAGCAGAGAAAATAAAAAAAAAATAAAAAATAACGACAAAAAAACAAAACAAAAAAACTTGATGTTGCCAGTTTCAATGAACTTGGAGTAGTGGTAACAGTGCATCCAAAGTTGATACGTTAATTCCCAAAGGAGCCGAGAAGCTGAAGAGAACGTAACTCGCCGCGAATCGATCTATCCACAAACACATCTTATTCTCGTTTCCGCTTGTTCACTTTTACTATGCCGAATAACAGGCGATACGTGATGGTGGAACGCGCTGTGGTCTTTTTGACGAGCTGTGTTTTGCCTCCCAACGATGTCGATAAGGCAGGTAATAAGAGGTGAGCCAGAATGCAAAAAAAACGACGAACGCGCACCGCTCGACTGCGTGAATCTGTGCGAAGTTTGCGAAACTTATTTGATAATCTCTCTCGTAAGAGATCAAAATAGGTATATAAGCCTATACTCTGCTTTCACCTAGTTAGATGGCGAAAAATAAATGTACACCGAGCACTTTCAAGGACTGTCTATACCATAATTATATCAAAATGCGAAACATTCGTGCGCGCTGTCCAGGACCACTTATATGGTGCGGAGACTTCAATGCAAACCATCTTGCTTGGGGAAGCGACGACTGTACTCCTCGGGGGACCGCGCTCCTTGATATGATCAGGGAACTTGGACTTCGATGCCTCAACTCTGCCGATCCAACATACAACAGGGCTCACCTCAGCAAAGTGAGCGTCTTAGACTTGACATTTGTATCACCTGAGATTAAGATGGTCTGGGATACTGAACCGGATACTTGGGGATCAGATCACCTCCCCATCCGGCTTACTCCACAAGCGAGCATTCCTCCGAAGAAGCAAACTCACAGTGTTATAAACTGGGACGAATACCGAATTTCCCTTACGACCATTCCCACGAGCCCAAACGCTCCATCTCTTGAGGAGGCCATTGAATTATCAATGAAAAAGGCAACTACATTAGTCTGCCTTCCCATTAACAAACCGGTTCCTGACTTGATATACCTCAAAATAAGGTCGCTGGCGCGGCGTGCCCAAAGAATTGCCCGGCGAACAGATGCCCCAAAAGACTGGACCGCATCGCGAAAATTCGAAGCTATACTCCGCCGTCACACAGTGCGCCTAGGACGGCAACAGTGGCAGCTCCAGAGTGAATCGCTCAACACCGAGGCAGGGTCGCGGCAGCCCTGGACGACAGTCAAAAGCCTCCTCAGCCCCGTGAGCCCGACATCGCCCTTTGCGGCAATAGCTATCAAACGCAACATCTCGATTGCAGAACTTGTGGAAATATTTGCGGATACATTCTCCCAAACAATTGAGGCACCTAAAGAAACCCCTTCGGTACCAAAACCGCCCACTTTAGCGTTTAGCCCAATTGCAATTGACGACGACTTTACAACGACAGAGTTAAACTATGCGCTTTCACGATGTCGCCGACGCGGCGCACCCGGGGTTGACGGCATTACTTACCAAACCATCAAAAACATAGACGTGTGCTTCAGGCCAAGATTACTGGAGCATCTTAACCAAATATGGAGCTCTGGCAATCTCCCAAATACATGGCTACACTCAATTGTGATAGCCATTCCAAAGCCCGGTAAGCCTACACATGAACCAGCATCATACAGACCTATATCTCTTACTTCATGCATGTGCAAGCTACTAGAAAAAATGATTCACCGACGAATCAGTTGGCAACTGGAACGCACGCGAGCACTACCGACTGAACTATCTGGATTTCGCCAAGGCCGGTCAGCATCAGATTCAATAGGGGACCTTGCATCATCCTTGGAGGAAGCAAAGACAGAAGGGAAGGTAGCCCACATCGTCTTCCTCGACATACACCGCGCCTTTGATGCACTTCCACACAGTGTCATTCTTGAGCGCCTAGAGCTCATCGGGGTCGGAGGACGGTCTCTACAATTCGTTCGAGCATTTCTAAGTGGTAGAACATTTCAAATACGAATGGGTGGACACACCAGCACAACACGCACCGTTACCCAAGGTGTACCGCAAGGGAGTGTGCTCAGTCCGTTACTATTCAACATAGTAATGGCGGGACTTCCCCCAATTCTCCCACGATTCAAAGCCATCCCCGTCAACTGTGCCATCTACGCAGATGACGTAGCCTTATGGTGCACAGGTCCTACAGAGATCTCCACGACCGTACAAGCCAAACTGCAACAAGCCCTGAATGTTGCTACCTCATTTTTTCATTATGCCGGCCTTACCTTGTCAGCAGCAAAAACAACAGTTCTTACATACCGACCACGAGGTCGATTGAAGGGAAAATATTCAACGTTACAGATTTACGGCAACCGGATCAGAAGAGAACCACAAGTTCGCTACCTTGGAGTCATAATCGACGATCGAGTCAACTGGCGGCCGGCGGTGCAAACGGTGCTAGAAGGGGCACGGAAATTACTTGGAGCGCTATGCCGAATCGCCGGTCAAAACTGGGGCTCCAGCCAGCAGACAACGATGACACTTTATCGAGGTCTTATTGTTAATAGAATTATGTATGCCCTGCCTCTCCTGAATCTTCAACAATGACAATGGACGATGCTGGAGACATTTCACAGGAAAGCGATCCGTATATGCCTCGGCCTGCCCACTTCATCAAAGAACGTTCCCACCCTGATAGGGGCGAGCGACTCCCCACTTCAACTACAGGCAAAAGAACGGGCTTTGCGCCAGATATCGAGACTTGCTGGTACTGAATCCTCATACGCCTTGCTAAACTCAGTCACTGAAAGGCCATCCTCCCACTTCGGAAAGGTGGCGCAGACCTTCCTGGATATCATCGGATGCCCAGAGAACGTGCCCCCCATCGCGCCACCGCATCGAGAGGACAACCATCTCAAAATAGCGACAGACATTGTCAACCTTCCAAGACGGAAAAAAGTCGCAGAGACGGTGGCTCGTCATGTTGGAAACGAAACAATCAGCACCTACGCAGATATGATTCACGTTTACACAGATGGCAGTGTGAAAGGCGATTCGGCCACAGCAGCCTACGTCGTCCCTGAAATGGGCTTGCGTTGTAAAGATCGGCTGAGCAATTGCACTAGCTCAACAACAGCCGAGCTTGCAGCTATATGGCTTGCCATCACACAAGTGCCAAAATACATAAACTCAATAGACCTTGCTATCTTCACTGACTCGAAAGGCGCACTAATGCAATTGGCTAACCTCAACACAGCTTGTCCCCTTGCAAAATCTATCGCCCAACTCACACGGAAAACAAACGATGCGGGGATCACTATATACTTCCAGTGGGTTCCATCACACTTGGGAATTCTTGGAAACGAGGAAGCAGACGGTCTTGCCTTGGCAGCACACAAAGATGCCTGCCCAACAATTGCTATCCATAAGTACAACTCCGCACGCATCATAATCCACCAAGAATTAACAAAACAACACCCTGACGCAGAAACGGCAGCTGGTTTTCCACCTTTCCCGATACAAAAGAAAAAATTCAACCGTAAACAAGAATCGCAGTTCCACAGGCTGAGAACGGGTTGCTCGAACACCAACATCCGTTTGCACCTCCTCAGACGGTCAAACACAAAAAACTGCAGCTCATGCAATGAACCCGAAGACATCGACCATATATTGTGGACCTGTCCAGCGCATGAGGATCAGAGGAAGACGCTACTAGAAACCTTCGGAAAACTTCACATCAACGCTAGCACTACACAAGAACTCCTATTCCCGAGAGGACCACGGGCCAAGCGGACCGCTGCACTCCAGGCGGTGCTTGACTTCGTGGATAAGGCAGGACTCTTTTCTCTACTTTGAAAAATAACAGCCTGATCAGCGCAAATCACGACATCGAGAACTCGCCTTAACTCTTTTATGCGCCCTGTCTAAGGGCCAATGTACAGTTTTTTTATGTGTTTTTTTAACCTTTTCTACCTATATCTTTTCCCTCTCTCCCTCGTCCTGTAGGACGAAAAAGCTGACCCCGCTTACAGGAGACTAACCTTTCGTCCTACGCGTTTCCGTTTCCTTCCTTTTCACTATATTTGTTTTCTTTATTACAAAATAAACAAAACAGCATTATTTGCGAGCCACAAAATTGATCACTGCAACCAATAGGGCGGTTCCACGAAACGCCATTTCACTTTTAGTGTCAATATGTATGAGTGTCGTTTTTTTATGTTTTTGCGCAGTTACTACTGGTGGGAAAGCCTTTAACGCGACGTCACCTCCTCCCCCTTCCCACGTCGCGAATAGGAGACTCGAGCCGACGCGTACCGTTGAGGTGTTTGACGTCCTGCGATTGCAAGAGGACCTTGACGTCCTTGGAGTCCTTGGCCGACGACGTGTGCGTCGTCGAGTCCGCCGTCGTGCTGATGGGGGACGTGGTGACGCCGGCGTCGGAGCCGGACGACGAAGACGCCGACGATTGCTTCTGCTGATTGAGCCGCTCCTGCTTGCGGAACTTGGCCCGCCGGTTTTGGAACCAGACCTGCATTGGCACGGGAAAAGAGAAACGAGCGTCAAGCTCTAGGTATAGTGAAAGAAACTTGTTTAAATATCTTAAGAGCGTGATTTGATCCGTTGCAAGCGTCTCCGCCTTTCCGCCTGCTTCCCTCCTCGCCACATAACAACGAGGCGCTTGCGCACTTGCGACAAAACTTAGTGGGAGGCACCCTCCATTAAATAGCGAACGCTCCCCCACGGTCCGAGTTGAATCCTCTCTTCAGTCTAGGCTCTCTACAGAATACGCTGGCGCCACCTATGAAGTGGTCCTGGAACTGCATTTCACTAGGGCGAAGGTTTTGCGGCTCTTCGGGACGTCGAGTTTACGTACTATTTATGAGAAATTGTTGTTTGTAACACCGGCAAACGTTTTCCAAGCAAATGATGAAATAATGATGCTCGAAAAAAAAGGAAATAAACAGAAATTGCGAGTGTTCCCAGGCTGCCCAATAGATGGCGCTAGCCTGTTCTCTCGTCTAGAGTTCCTGTATAGCTACCTACGGTAGCAGAGTTGCGCATTCAGCCTCGGCGCGTGGCCGTAGCGCCGGCTTTCCCGCACGAGCTGGATGCTTTGCTCCTCACGTGACTAAATTTGACGAATAGCGGCGCCGCGCGCGCCGCCGCGCATGGAAAACAGGAGAGGAGGAAAAGGAGGCGGAAAGCAGGGAAACATACGCCAGGGCAAGAGAAACGTCGGCGGAGCGACCGTAAAGGTGGCTTTCTTGCACGCCAACGGATGCTTTGCTCCTCACGTGATGGATCTCGGCGAATAGCGGCGTGGCGGCGTGGGGAAAACAAATGCGCAACTCTGGCTCCCGTATGGAGCCTATACAGGAACTCTACTCTCGTCGTAAGAGATAGAAACGCACTCGGTCGTAACCAGTCGCAAATGTGTGTACGAGCCTTAAGACGATGTCACACCGCTCATACATCACACAAGACGACACTCTGCACCCCGAGTCACCGCAATATCCGTGGTTCGAGTGCCGCGTGCCGAGTTTCCCCCTTGAACTCATTGCCGTGCGGAATTCGAAAGCACGGATCTCGCGGTGACTCGCCTTCGAATCCGCATCTTTTGTATGATGCATAAAAGTGTCACCCCTGGCTTTTAGAAGACACGAAAATAAAATTTGAGAAAATTAAAAGGACAAACTGAATATATATTTTTTAGAATGTTTTTATGTGAAATATTTACGCAGTCAGACGCAATTTAGGCGGAGGTAGCCCCGCTCTCGGCCCCGCACGGTGCTTACAAAACTAAGCACTTTTTTACGGCTTTCATTGGTTGGAGAGATGACTGACGTGTGAAATGTTGATTGTAAAATTGTCTCTCCATGGCGGAATAGTATATTTATCGACAATATATATTTTTTGATGTTTTATAAACAAACAATATAGTTAGAGTCATTATTTGTTTTCAAAAATATCCCGAGATTGCCTTTCCCCTTGGGCTTCAAAGGATAACAGACATGGCTGCCGGAGTTTGCGGCGTGCTCAATGAGCGCAGGTCGTTGAGCTCGTTATTTCCACGAGTGCGAGTCGTTCCGCGTTCACCGTGGAGTTTGGAGGAAGATGTCCTCAATTGACCTAGTTTGCAGCAAACAAACGTTGAAAGTACGCGTCTTCGGGAGCGCTGTCCTGGTGCTTAGGTTCGCAGTGGGGCTGGCCGTGAGGGTGCTTGAATTCGTTGCGGGACTGACGGCTTAGCGTGCACGTCAACTATGTTGCTGGATCTGGCTTGATTTGTTACTTTGCGCGTGTTGGTGGTGAATAAAGATGTTGGTTCCCGTGAAAGTGGCCCCGAGGCTCTGGGAAATGTGCAACAGTTGTGGTTGCAACCATGGTTTAATACCGAGGAGATACCTACACAGGGGAGAATTGGCGAGCCATTTTTACTGGAGGCAGTCGGGCCTTCGGCTCGCATATCAAGTTTGTCTATGTTCCCGTTATTTTGCTTCGAAAAGCCATTAGCTCTCAAGTTTTGCAGTGCACTTGGCCTGTCAAAGCGAATATTTTTAGGCCACGTTCACAGCGTGCGTCATGGCGCACACTCACTTTGCTCGCAGATGCTATCCATGCAAAAGAAAAATAACAACATGAACATAAAAGCTGAAATGACTGCATATATTTTTGCCGTTTTTAGTCCTCTCGCCCGCTTTTTACCGCGCAGCGACAAACGTTTGTATTGAGCCGTGGGTCGTGCTTGATGAAACGTTTGAACGCTGCATTCATGGTCGAGTCTTTTGAGCGTCGTAAAAGTTTTAGGCGGGGGTAGAATAGCAGACGGACGAAGGCGAAAACGGACGCCGACGCGCAGCATTCCTGTCCGCGTCTTACGGGCATTGAAGACAACGATAGACGATGTGAAGGGGAGTTGTTATTTGAACTGCATCAACCGGGGGGTCATGTGATGCTTCAGTGACGTCGTTTCTCTGCGTCACGCATTTCTGTTCGTGCTTACAAAACGTACACCGAGCGACATTTATTTTTTCCTACCGTTTTGTCGGCAACTCCACTAGAAGCGAGGCACTTTATCGGTGACAGCCTCTTCCATAGGGAGCCTTTCTGTAGGCAGGTCAGGGATTACAGTAGGTCGTGCTGTGAACATGCGTATGGTGTTCTGGAGTTCGTAAATCCGACCAACACCGCGTTTGAGCAAGTCGGCTCTGCCTCTGTACTCTGCTGTGAGGCAGGCAAAGCACGCTTTACAGGCGGCGTCCCATTTGCGTTTGAACAATGCACAGTACCGCTGCTCGATTTGGCTACATGGAGGTTCCACGGAATGTCTTTCCCCTTCCGGTAAGCCACGGTCCGCCACGTTAATGAACAGCGCCTGCCACTTCTGCCACTTGTTTACAAGCAGACGCTTAGTTATTGGCGTCGTTTCTGGCGTTGGTGAAACGCTGAAACAGGGCGATTGGCTCTGTCGACCATGAGCCCCCGTACATTTTTTCACCCTATGGCAAAAACTACATGCACCAACTTTTTCAGAAGGAAATGTTTAGTTTTTGGCGACATGCCAAATATTAGGTCAACAAAATAAATCTGGGTAACGCTCCGTCCCTGAATTCACATCCGTCCGTTACGTCATCTCTCTGCATCGATCATTTCCAAAGCGCCCGTCACTTACACAGCTGGCCCCTTAAAGTCAACATGTGACACTTTTGCCTTCCCGATCTAAGAGACCAATAGCTGTACTTTGTAATGGCTATAATGTGCGACCTCGGCGAGGGTTTTACTTCCGGAATCTTTTTCGCGACCATAGGGGACACCCCTTTTATACCCAGCGCGCCCACCACGGCATACACCGTTTCCCCTTACGATGTACCAGAATGGACGTTACGCAGCATCCCAGCCAATCCGATGTCACGGTGAGTGTCACGTGGTTTTCGGGAGAGAGACAGTGGGGGAGGGCAGCGACGCTCGAGATACGTAGTCACGTGACAAATTCCCAGTGCTGGATTGGCCGGGGCGGCAAGTGCAGCGTCAACCGCGGTTCATCGTAACGGTGAAACGGGGGTTAGAGCTCGGTCGTCTCCTCGAAAGCGAAACGGGCGGTTTTCTCCCGCGGCGCACTCTGGCGAAATAAGTGCCGTTGACAGCAGCGAGTTTCGGGTTTTGGGCCAACGCAAAGCCCACCAACCGCCCGCTCCGGAGCTTTCCTACGTTTGTGCTCGCGCAAATACATGGATATATACGAGCAGGCGCGCGGGGACTCCCGGGCACTAATTCAATTACAGACTAAAGCTTTCTCTACCCCGTGGCCCGCCTCGTGCGACACTCCCAGGCGCGTCCACAAACATACCACTGCACAGGCGTGCACACACACACACACACACACATACACGCGCGCGAAGGGACGACTTTCAAGAGTATAGACGCGCTCATGTGCGCGTGAGACATACCGCGCATGCGCGTGGGCGGGTGCTTTACGCAGGCGCGCGTACAGATGGAGCCTCTCTCTGGTCCCGAGGGGCGGTGGATGGCGTCATCTGTCGGGAGGTTTTCACTGAGTCGCGTCTTAGTGACAGTCTTTGCAATGTCCGGGTTATTTTGGGTATCCGTCATCGCCGAGTCGTGTTTCCACTGTCGCTTATAAAACGAGACTGGTAAACGAAGGCACGCACTTTTGAGCCGAAACATTCTACATATAGTCGCCGACGGCTCAAAGGGGTAGTGGATTCTAAGATCGTCTGTTTGTGGTGATAAATCAATCTACAAGCTCTAAACATTAAAAATTTCATGGGCGGCCGACATCCACATTAAAAATATAATCAAAGATCGTGACACACTCCTTTTTTCTGCGCCTTGGAGCAGACTCCAGGAGGCACCGTCAGGCGGCGTTTTAAGGCAATAGTTGCTTTATTACGTCTCGTAAAGCCAAAGATTTCACGCTTGCGTTAAAATACATTGCACAACGCGCCAAGAAAAAGAGCAATGACAGTAACATTTGGAATCTTCACGCAACTAATTATTTTAATTGGTCAAATGTTACGAAGATGTTGGGTACCCGAGGACGGTCTCCCCGAGAGAAAACAGTGCCCGTCTATTTCTATCGCTGCGAGTTTACTAGAACGTCTTGCCGTCTAGAACTGATGTGTTTTATCGTCTGAAGCCAGACAAACAATATTCCATGAAGAACAGGCTTCTACTGTATGTCCTTACGGAGGGCGAGTCCAGAATATTTCATAATCGCTCCATAGGGTCAACGAGAATTCTGGGGCACAAATCGTGGTTCAAGCAAAGTGAGACTGCTTCACCCTGCATTGTTTAAACTCTTAGTTACCCACGCGTTAATCTGATTCGTTTTCCTCCCGTTTCGCGCCTCTTCAGCTTCTTTGTGAACAACTCAGGCGACACTGTTAGCGCGAACTCAAGTTGCTACTTTGAAACGGCGTCGGTGGGCTCCAAATTCCCACTGCTTACTTCGTTGCCTCGAGTGAGCACTTCTAACCGCTTCAGTTGTTTTTAAAGCAGCTTTTAGGC